AGAAGGTCTTTTCTTTAAAAATAATCTCTTTTCTCTCCCGTCGTGAAAAAAAAAAAAAAGGATGCAAGCAAGCAGACCTGAGGCTGGGTTAGCCCCCGGGTTTAAGTCCTCCTTGCTTCTTGGTGGTGCCTGTAGAGAGCTGCCCCCACCCTCAGATTTCTGGTCATGCCCAGTGTCTCCCTGTCCCCAGGAGGCTTGGCCAGCTCTTCACCTGGACCCCTGGCACAGCGGGTGCCCCCGTGGGCAAGGGCAGCTGCAACTTGCCTTCTTGGGGCTGTCCCACTTGCTCCTGGGGCAGCCACAGCTGTAAGAAGATGCTCATAGCTCAGCTCCTCAGGAGAGCAGAGATCCCCATCGGGCAGGGACAGCAAAGTCACCGACTCCTCTTCCCTTCCTTTGACAGGAGCAGTTGTTCAAACCCCAGTGGCCAAGAGTCAAGAGGTGATGCAGGAGCGAGATCAGGGCTGCGGAGGTGGCTTCTGCTTTGTTAAAGATCACCCCTCTGCCTGAAGCCAAGGCAGGGAGTGGAGTAAGAACAGATGAAGCTGGGAAGATGGGGTGGATGGTGGAGACTAGAGGGGACAAATGAGGTACCTTCAGTTTGACCGTGATGCCTGATCATTTATGAGTTCTCTGTTTGTCCTGGAGGGTGGCCTGGAGAAGGGGAGAGATCCGATGCCACGGGGTATGTCCTGCCCTCCTTTCCTGAGACCTGGGATGGTGGCAGGAGTCCCACTACTTCGTCCAGAAAAGGGAATGTGCCACTGGGACTGGTACAAAGGAGTGGATCTGTCCAGAGAGATTCCCACCTTACGCATGTGTCCTCAAAGGGTTTCGTCTGCAGCTCAAGAGGGAGCTGAGATTGTATGGGGAGAGGGAACAGTGCCCTAACCATGCATCTCACGCACACCCCTTACGTCTAGGAGGGCTGAAGAGAATTCTCTGAAACCATGTTGGAGAAATTCAATGTTAGTTTTCTCCTTTCATCACAACATTGTGCAGAGGAAGCGTGCACACCCTCAAGAGTGAGGGTTGCCATCTACATGTGACAAGGCAGGGAAGGCCCGGATAGCAAAGAGCAGGGTTAACTCTGACAACCCCCTTCCCATGACAATATGAACGGCAAGGCCTTTGTGTGAATTCACATCAAAAAGCCTCAAAAATATGCCTGCAACTCTTTATAGCGCCTGTTTGAAAGCACAGAGTTGCATTTCTGTCAACTGTTCCACTGCACAAGGTTTAAGGATTGAGAAACCCGCAGCCCAAGGTGGAGCAGGTCCGGTCTGTTGAGACGGGGTGCTGCCCAGGAGGGACCGACCCATGCAAGAGGAACTGGAGGGACTGGTGCCAGGGGGTTGGCAGTGATAGGGAGGCTGCTTCACACTGTCTACATTCACATGGGAGAAGGGGATCAGCGTCTCTTCAATGCCCTTGCTAGCAAGTAAGCAATTGTGGATTTACCCTATTTAAGGAGGAAGGAGCAACAAGCTCTGCAAAGGTGAGGTAAGGATTTCACCCAGCGGTCCAGCTCCATTCACACCCAGGCCACAGCTCACGCAAACCTGATCTGGTTTAAGCCGCCAGGTCTCCATTTCCCCCTGCTTGGCTGTCATCTCTTCCCACCTCCTGCTCCTCTAACTCGGCATGGAGGGCTGTCTTTGGAAACGAGGGCTTTGGGCTTGTCTCAAACCCACTGTCAGCATAACTCTGGGGACAGAGTAGCTGCAACAATAACAAGAGAGTGGCATTGAAGGAAAACTTCTCCTGCCTCTTCTTAGCAGTTGTACATGGAGCTGCCAAAAACATGCCTCGAGCGGTGCGATCAGACACACCTATTTCTCCAGGCTCTTCTTTTCTGGCTCCGGATTTACACCTTCCTGGAGGAGGGGGGATTGTGGCACGCGCTCCTCTGAAAGGGAGCACGCCAGAAGCACTGCTCTTGCCAGCATTTTGTGGCTGGTGAAGGGTGCCTTAAGCGTCTGCCACATACTGAGATAGGTACCTTTTGGGAAAGGAGCTGCCTGAGGAGCACAGCAGACCCTTTATTAATTGGTGAAGGTCCCTTGTAAAAGGGTGGTTTAGAGTGCTGCTTCTGACTTCATCTCAGAGAGGTTTGGACAGCAAATGCAGAGTCTAATCTTAAAAAAAGAAGGGGGGGGGGGGAAGAAAAGTGGCTGGAGATGCGTAAAACTAGGGTGGAGAAGCTTGGCTCGGGAGGCTGCCGATGCGAGGCTGCCTGTGAATTGGCACCAGCGGGGGAAGTTTGGAACAAGCACCGATATATTCTTTCGCTGCAACCTCCGCTGAGATTGGGGAGGCAAAAGGGAAAAAAGGGATTTCGGTCCCAGTCACTTTCCCCATTTCAGCCGGCTTCGCGAGCCAGGGTGGAGGAGGTCTCTCCATTCTCTTCCCGGTTAATTGTTTAATTGGGGAACAATGCGCCTTTCGCACCCGCCTGCCCCTCTCCGCGGGGCCGGTGCCGGGCGAGCGGAGGGACCCGTCCCGCCGCTCGGGTCTGCGGCTCCCCGGTACTTTCGGGGCCGCTCCGGGGCTGGGGTCTGCGGGGCCCCGAGGGTTCCCCGAGGGGGCGGCCGGGCCGGGG